GGAGGTTAGAAAACAACTTTTGGGAATCCTGGAGAGTGAACTTAGGCCATCGACTTGGTGGCGAGTGCTTCCATGTTCTGAGCCATGTCACCATCTCCCGGTTTGATTCTTTACTCAGTGCTTTAGTCAAACACCAATAAACTTGTCTAAAAGCTACAGTGATACTGTAACCAAACATTTTTTATTATTTTGATTATTGTGTTATCTGCTGTGCATTCGTTCATGTGTGTATGTGTGCACGTGCGTGTGTGCATGTGTCAGGAGGGGCCATTAGATCCACTAGAGATACAATTACGGGCACTTGTGAACCTTTTGATATGGGTGCTGAGACTCAAATTCCAATTCTATGATAAAGCAGTATGTGTTCCGTCTTGGTCAGTGCTCTACTGCTGTGAAGAGACACTATGACCACAGCAACTCTCATGAAGGAAATAACTCCACTGGGGCTGGCTAACATTCAGAGGTTTAGTCCATTATGATCCTGGTAGGAAACATGACGGCACAAAGGCAGACATGATGCCAGAGGAGAAGCAGTTGAGAGTTCTACATCTGGATAAAACTTCTTCCTAAATGCCTAAGAGAACGAGTTGAATATGCACAAAACGTGAAATTATTTTTCGGTCTTAAAACTCAGCTGCTGCTATAGCAGCTTTCCTAATTACTCCTAATTACAGGGGAAAAAATGTCTATTTACAATCTTGAACTGTGCTCTTTCTCAGTTTTGAAATTTTTAATTACTAATTTTTATATTATGGGTGTTTTGCCTGTATGAATGTCTATACATCATGTATGTAGTACCCAAAGATGGTGTCAGGATTCTGAGAGCCGCAGTCACAGATTGTTGTGGACCACATGTGCACTGGGAACTGAAGCCAGGTCCTCCGCAAAAGCTGCAAGTATTCTTAATTGCTGAGCCATCTCTGTAGAGTTCCAGATTTTAAAACACACACACACACACACACACACACACACACACACACACTCATTTATTTATTTATTTTGTGTGGAGAGGTGTGACACTTTGTATATGCTCGGTCCAGGGAGTGGCACCATTAGAGGGTGTGGCCATGCTGAAGTGGATGTGGCCTTGTTGGAGTAGGTGTGTCACTGTGGTTGTGGGCTTTAAGACCCTCATCCTAGCTGCCCAGAAGCCAGTATTCTGCTAGCAGCCTTCAGATGAAGTAGAACTCTCAGCTCCTCCTGCACCATGCCTGCCTAGATGCTGCCATGTTCCCACCTTGATGATACTGGATTGAACCTCTGAATCTGTAAGCCAGCCCCAGTTAAATGTTGTCCTTTATAAGAGTTGTCTTGGTCATGGCATCTGTTCACAGCAGTAAAACCCTACTAATACTAATATTACATGCCTCAACATATGTGTGGAAGACACAGAGCAACTTCCAGGAGTTGGTCCACCATGTGGGTCTTTAGAATCCAATTCTGGTCACTTGGCTTGACTGAGAGCTGAGCCTTTCACTGGCCCTGACTTCCTAGGTACTATACCAGCCCCGTTTCCTTAAGTAATTGGTTTAAAAGGTACATGTACTTTCTACACAGGCTCCAAGAAGGATGAGGTCTGCCTTGTCACACAAAAGCTACACTTTTCCTGCCAGGTATGAGGATAATACTAAGTAGGCTGTTTCCTCATTCACAATTGGTACTCAATGAAAAACACAAGTGACATATCAGGCGTGGTGGCAGCCACCTGAACCCCAACAAGAACAAGGCTGGGGCAGGAATATTACAAGTTTGAGGCCAACCTGGGCTATACAATGAGATTCTATTTTTTTTTTAAAAAATAGTGATATCTTTGAGAAGCCCAGGGTCATTGTTAGTATGCTGTTAACTTGGGACTTCCACTCAGATCCAAAGGACCCTATATTTCATTTTCTGGAAACCGACAAGTTAGCTAAATTATTCTGAAGTGTGCAAGTCCCTGTCAAAAATGAATATGCTTTGGTTATTGTTAGCGTTAACCTTTATATTTACAGGGTCAAAAGACATAATGACTTTAGGTTTATCTTCATTATTGGTCAATGAGGATAATTTTAATGCTGTGAGCAAGCTAAACCATAATCACATTTATATCTTTCCACAATGTCAAGAGTTTATCGAATAACAAAAAAAAATCCATAAGCTATGTCCATTTCATAAGCTTCAAGGCACCAAGTAGTCTTGATTTCATTTGCGAACATGACCACCAAACAATGATTTTCTTTTATTCCATTACAATCCTTTTTATTTTGATTTAATGTGTGTTGGTGTTTGCCTGCATGTATGTCTGTGTGAGGGTGTGGGATCCCCTGGAAGTGGAGTTACAGGCAGTTCTGAGATGCCATGCTGGTTCTGGGATTTGAACCCTGGTCCTCCTGAAGAGTAGCCAGAGCTCTTAACCACTGAGCCATCCCTCTAGACCTCCATGCCAATCTTAGTTACTAATATTACTAACTCTCATATTATACATTTCATGCCACACAAAATTATACAGAGGCTAGAACTACTAAGAGAAAGCTATGATCACCATGAGTTACAGAGAGGCCCTATTCCAGGCTAAGGCAGAGAGCTGACATGCATGTAGCATCACTACAGACGGCTGGGCATCAAGGAATCGTCAGTGAGCTACTCGGTACTAGGCTGTATAGGTGCACAGTGATTGTAGAAAACTGTATAGTTCTACTGGGCAAGTCAGGCATGGGGGTGTGCTCGGCTGAAGCCCCTGAAACAGAATCGGGAGTCCATACAGTGACAAGCATACAGAATGACAGGCCAGATGCCAGAGCAAGGTCCTCTTGCTTTTGAGATAGTTTTACCGCATAGCCTGCTGACTTCAAACTTGAAACTCTCCTTCAGACTCCCAAGTTCTGGGGTTATAGGTGTCACCACGCCCAGCACTGCCTCTTTTCATGACTCATCATTCTTTGGCCTAGTGTGTTTTCTAAGCTTATGGGCCTGATTTCTCTGATACAGCTTTGATTAAGCCCCAGTGTTCTGATTTAATTTGATGACTTCAGAAGACGGTGCTTTTTCATTTGTGTAAATACGTCCATGCCTTGTGGCTTGTGGGGCACAGCTGGATGTTCTTTGTGATATGCTGTGTGTCCAACATCTGGTGGTTATCTACTTACCCAGGTAAGCACCCTCCCTTAGCAAGAGCTCTTAGAAAAAAAAAACAAAGTGTTGATGTATAAAACAGTCACTCTTGGGCAAGGTTCAGCCGCAAAGCTCCTGTTCTACATCAAAGGCAGAAACTCAGAGCAGGGCACTGTCAATCTCCTACAGAGCATGTGTTCTCTAGTCAGGTCTTTCTACGTTTACCACCACAGACTCCTACTCAGCAAAGCTGTGTTCAGCACACCCATATGAAGAACATGCCTTTAAAGACACATCGCTGCCACATCTCCAAGGAAGCCACCGAAGGCTTTATTTCGTTTTTGTTTTTTGAGACAGGGTTTCTCTGTGTAGCCCTGGCTGTCCTGGAACACGCTCTGTAGACTAGGATGGACTTGAACTCTGAGATCTGCCTGCCTCTATCTCCGGAGTGCTAGGATGAAAGGTGTGCACCACCACAAAAGTTTTATTTTAAAAATTTATTTTATGTGTACCTTGCTGGCATGTATATATGCATGTGTATCATATATACATGCCTGTTGCCTGAAGCAATCTAAAGAGAGTATTGGTTCCACTGAGTTATGGATGGTTAGGAGCCACCCGATGGGTGTCAGGAACTGAACCTGGATCCTCTGCAAGAAGAGTAACAAGTACTCTAAACCACTGGGACAACTCTCCAGCCACAAGGTATGGAGTTTTTATCATGTATAGCATGAAATGTTTCCTACATATGACTTAACTCAAATAATTTTAACCTGAGTTAGATCCCTGGGACCTGTGAGCAAAGCCCCCAACAGGCCCCTTCAAGTTGTCCTCTGACCTCCACATATTTGCCATGTGTCTGCCCCTCCTCACAATAAATAAAATGGTAATACAAAATTTTAATATTCAGTCATGACATCTATTTGTAGTTATTGGAGGGTGGCTCATAAGATAACACCAACCTTCAGGATATTCAAGAAACGTATTGAAGGTCCCCCAACAAGATGGTTCACTGGGTAAGGGCCACCAAATCCCACAATCAGAGTTCTATCCCCAGGATCCAGACAGTAGGAGGCTAAGGTTGTCCTCTGACCTCAGCAAATGCTCAAACAAGTGAATGTAATTAGCATTCGTTTAAAAAGAAAATTTGAGGTATAGGGAAGTTAGAAAGTTAGAAGATTCACCAAGGTTCCTCTTGCCAGTTTACATAATCGGTTAAAAAAAAAAAAAACAAAACGGAGGGGGCAGAAGCTCTCTGTAGAGCTGCCTCAGGCTGGGCAAGGGGTGAGCCTGCTAGACAAGATGGAGTCCTTTCTTTTGTCCGTGGTTGGTGCTCTATTCGGGACGAGGAGACGACTGTTCCTCTCACTGAAGTCAGTCAACGTTGAGTACCTATCAGTAGCCTACGTCTCTCAGCAGGCCGTCATGTTCTGCTACGCTGAGAGATTTAACTTGGACAGAGAACGTCCCAGAGTCTGGCTGCGGGTGTTTGCCGCCTCTGGAGCCCACGCGAAGCCCCGCCCCGGAAGCTGGCTGACCCTCAGACTCCTCCCCAGGCCCGGGCGAGGTCACACTAGGTCCGACCACCACTAGTTCCAGGGAAGGACCCGAAGGAGCCCCGACACCGCATGCTCCCGCTCCGGCGGACCGCTCGGCTCACCTAAGCCGGGCTTGCCTGCGCGTGCGCGGGGTAAGGGGCGCTCGGCGAACAGGTCGCGAGAACCTCGAGGCAACCGGAGGCAGGAGCCAAGCGGCTGCCAGGCGGCACGGCGCCAGCACTGCCGCCCAGGCCTCACGTCGGCCACGAACTACGCGCGCCGCCACGGACCGGGAAGGCCCTGCGCCCCAGCCAATGAGCGCCGCGCTGCGGGTGACCACGCCCACCGCCCCCTCGCACGTAAATGGAGTCAGGGCCGGGGCGCTCCGGCTGCTGGCTTCTGATTGGCTGGGGCAAGCAGTGGCCGCAGCGGGTGAAGCCGGTGTTCTCGCACACCCGGGTGACGGCCAGAAGCCGGCAGGACTGAAAGGGACCCCGCATCTCGGTGAGTGAAGCGGGAGGTGAGGCCCGCGGGGCGGGGGGCCCTCGGGTGGGCGGAAGACTCGGGGTCCCCGTCGGCCAGTGCATGTGGAGCCGGAGGAACGAGGCCGGAGCTTCTGGAGCGGATCGTGGCCGAAGGAACGAAAGTCACGGAGAAGGCAACGACCGGGGACCGACCGGGCTAGTGCCAGCTTCGGGGATCCCGGGAGCAGTGGGAGGAGAAGGAGAGGGAGCGCGATCGCTGTGACCTCGGAGTCCGGACAAGGTCACGAGAAGGTGGGAGGTGAGGGCAGGGCGCAGCGCTCGGGCACCTCGGCCTGGCCTTCCCTGGGCTCCACCCGAGGTTTGCGAAGACCTTAGGTGACCCTGTGTCACCGGATGGAGGAGGAAGGCTGTGGCGGAATGCGAATGCCCCTGACAAGGGAACGGGGCGCAGAGATCACAAAAGCACCTCTACAGTTCAGATGTGCCAGCAGCCCGAGTGACTCGGCGCTGTTAGCTGCTTTCCTCGTTTATTCCTGGGGTGGAAAACAGTCCTCTCTTCGAGAGGGTGATCCCTACCTAGGGAATCTGCTTCCGGGGCTACAGAGGCTCTCTGCAGCTTGACAGTTCGGATGCAAATTTTTGACAGGTTCAAATGGTTCCCAGTGCTCCTGGAGTGTGCTAGAGGGTCTACACTTCTCTGCACCAGTATCACTTGAAAGGGCTTCTTAAGATACAAAACCTTGTGTTCTGTCCCTGGCCATTTGAATCATAATCTCAAGGCAGCCATTTTGCACAAGCTGACGGTTAACTTGGGCAAAAAATCAGAATTTGAAACCATTGTTTTAAATAATAGTTCTTGGGAGCAAAGGGACGTGCTGAGAAGGAGCGTCAGCTGTTACATCATCTGATGCCCAGCCATTGTCTTATTTACCTCTTCTAGGCTGCCATGCATTTGGAAAAGTGTGTCTGTAGTCATACCTGGCCTTACAGAATAATAATGAGCTCAGCAAACTGTTGCTGACTTAAAAACCAAACTACGTTCTACTTTCTGACAGATGTAGGTCAGTCATTGAGTGAAGGAGATAATAAAATCTAGTGGGAGAAAAAAACTTTTAAAATCGGAATCGAAATTGTTAAATGATTTACCTGAAGAAAGAGTAGCCCGTTTAACTATAGGTGTGATGTACACAGCTTTTACAGTTCAAAGACAGTTTTCATTTTTATATTTTCAGTTCAGATTTGCACCTGTAACATAAAGGTGTTCATTTAACAATGAATAAATTGTCAAAAGAGCTGTGGATTGTATATGGGGAGAGCCAAGTTCTAATCCTACCCTTCCAGAAATATATTCCTAGTGTGGAACAATCCACATGACCCTTCAACCCCATTTACCCACCTGTAAAATAAGGGTATTTATCATCATCTGCTTAATTTCTTACTCAAGTTATGATTTGAGCTTGTTGAGTTTTAAAAGCATATCCTTTCCTATATTTCATGAATACTACTACCACTACCACCTCTTCCTCTTCCTCCTCCTCCTCCTCTTCCTTCTCCTTTTTCTACTCTTCCTCCTCCACCATCAGGGTCTTGCTGTGTAGCCCAGGCTAAACTTTAGATCTCTTGCCTCCCTTATTCTGATCTGGCATCACACACACGTGCCCCCATGCCACACTCTTCAGTCTCCTCATCTTTTGTAGCCCTTTCTGGTAGCCAAATGCATGTATAATTGGTACAAATTGGTGCCGGTGCACCGGAGTAGAAATGTCTCTGTCCACTGGGTCGTGTAATTACAGTTCTAGCCGTGTGGCTTGCTTCGAGCTCCAGACTCATCCTTAGCGTCCTGACAGACATCTGCCCGATCATGCCCGGTGGATATCTTTTGTAAATTTGATTTCATTATTTTTGTTGTTGTCTTAAAACAGGGTGTTGCTATGTAGCCTTGGCTAGCTTTGCCCTCACGATCCCTCTCCCTCTTGAGGGCTGAAGTTCTGCATCACCACTCTGGCTATCATTAGTCCCTTAAAAGAAATAATGGCTACATGGTATGCCCCAATTCTTAACCGCATTACGAAATTAACAGCATTCTGAAAGTGAGGTCAGATGCCCTACCCATTCTAGCTTGATCATCTGTATCACGGGTGATGAGGGGAAGGGATGGTTGTCTTCTGCTCATTTATATACACTGAAGCGATCTCCCCCCCCACCATGAAAAGAGAAGAAAGAAAGCCTTTTGCTCCATGAACTCACTGGTCAATATACTTATCCACATAGGAAGTGGGGAAGAGATGCCAACTGTGATTTGTTTTCCTTATTTATGGTGTGTTTGTTTGTTGACAGAGCTGGGGATCTAACCCATGACCTCACACATGCTAGGCAAGTGCTCTGGCACGGGGCTGTATCCCCGGCACAATAGAGTTGCCTCTCTCATGATGAGTTCAGGAGGCATAAACACAAAGAGAGGCTTGTTTTGTTTTATATTTTTGAGATAGGGTCCCTGTATTATGTAGCTCTGGCTGTCCTGGAACTCAGAGAGCCACCTGCCTCTTAAGTGCTGGGATTAAAGACATGTATTACCCTACCCAGCCACAAAGGAGTGTTTTTAATGTAGGATGTAGTCTGATAGCCTTGTCATTTGTTGCCTCAAGGAATAGAGATCTACTCAGGATATTTTTACTTTTTCACAGATGCTGTATAAGAACAATAAAAGGAGATGGACACTTAGGTGTATACAGCTTGATGTTTCACACTGCCTGGTTAAACTCTTTAAAAATACTGTGTATGCAAGCAGAGCAGGTATAGCACCCCAGCTTCAAGAAATCAAACCGGTGTTTGTAAGTGTTCTGTAGGAGGGCGTAACCAAAGTACTTATAAACAAACCTAAAGGACTTTGCAGAGGAGGCCAATTGTGGTACAGACCTGCAAAACCAAGATTTAAGTGAAAAACTGAAGTAGAAGAGGTAAAGGGAACTGTCATGACAGAGCACTCAGCTCTGCAAATGCTTTGAGCTGGCTTGGAACTCAGGAGCCTCCTCCTTCAGACTCTGAGTGCTGGGATTACAGCTGTGTGCACCACGCCTACGCAGTATTTGTTTTACTTTGCAGATGTAATGAGCATCCTGAACCTTGAGCTTACTGAGCCTCATATATACAAAAGCTTAGCAAGACATATTGTGTTAGGAAGTAATGGTGTACTAAAAAAAGGAAAGGAAAAAAGTCTTAGTTCTAGTCTGAATATTCTAGCTAGCTAGTTTTCTTCTCTGTTGATGATAGTGTTGACTCTTCAGGGAGTGTAGGACTTAGAGAGATGAACCCACTTTTCAAACTAAACATCTCCCCTTAGAGTTGGGTTTTTCTTGTTTGTTTTGGGTTTTTTTTTTGTTTTGTTTTTTGGGTTTTTTTTTTTTTTGAGGACTTTGCTGCCACTCAACCCCCTGGAATAGCAATCTGTTGGGTTTTTCTTGCTAAAGGGAATTTGTTGCACATGAAGAGTCCAGGATTGTATGCTAATTATATGCTAATAGATGGATAGCAGTTGTCACCAGCCGTACACTGTATGCTGTGTTTGCCTCCTTTATTTACCTGTGGGTCAGGATTACAGGCAGTTGAAAGTTGTTCATTAAAGAGACACACAGTAGAGATGAAGTGGGTTTGTCACCAGTGCGCCTCAGATGAGCTACTTGCGTGTGAGCGTGGATTGTAGGAAAGCCTTTGCTCTCTGTGATGGTGGAGTGGACTCTTTGTCCTGCTCCTTTATTCATCTCACTACTGAGCTCATATTGGCCTTCTCTGAGCGCCACTTAAAAGGAAGCTGTAAAGAGGAAGCCTAGGGAACATTAGGAAGGCGAGTCAGAAGAGATGCCTCATGGATGTCAAATAAGAAAGCCCTGAAGGAGTTGTTTTGTTTGTAGTGATGTTAACAATGCTAACTTCAGATGGAAGGAAGGAAGGAAGGAAGGAAGGAAGGAAGGAAGGAAGGAAGGA